TACAGTGTTGTGCTTTTTTAAGTATGGAAAGAAAAAACTACTCCTCTATTCTTCCTCTGCTCCTGAAAAAAAAAACAAAAACAACAAATCAAACTGATGTATCTATAATAATAACACATGAATTAGACATTATGCCAAAATTAATTGCTAGAGAGAAAGCCTGCCTACATACTGATAAAAGTTTCAATTCTCTACCAAATATTAGCCAGGGGTGGTGGCACATGCCTGTAATCCCAACTTCTCGGGAGGCTGAGGCAGGAGAATTGCTTGAACCTGTGAGGCAGAGGTTGCAGTTAGCCATGATGGCGTCACTGCACTCCAGCCTGGGTGACAGAGCAAGGCTCTGTCTCAAAAAAAAAGTTTTAGTTTTCTAGACATATATGATAATTACATATTTACATATTCATATACAATTGACCCTTGAACAACACAAGTTGGAACTTCTGGGTTCACTTAAATGCAGATTTTCTTCTGCTTCTGCCCCCTCTTGAGACAGCAAAATTAGCACCTCTTCCCGATCCTCTTCCTCCGCCTGCTCAATGTGAAGATGAGGATAAAGGATAAAGACATTTATGATGAGCCACTTCCATTTAATGAGTAGTAAATGTATTTCCTCTTTCTTGGGATTTTCTTAATAACATTTTATTTTCTCTAGCTTACTTTATTGTAAGATACCATATATAAAACATATAATGGGAATAATATGTGTTAGTCAACTGTTTATATTACTTGTAAGGTTTCCAGTCAACAGTAGGCTATTGTTAAATTTTGGGGGAGTCAAAAATTATACATAAATTTTAACTGCATGGTGGGCGGTCAGTGCCTCAACTGTCACATTGTTCAAAGGTCAATGGTACATTAAATAACTTTCAAAATTAGACATTATTACAGGAAGTAATTTATAAATCCCCATCATAATGGAAAATGTTTAACATATTTCTGCCAGGAAATAACAGTTCAGGAGAAAAAAATAAATTTACAAAAATATGAACACTGTAACAAAATTGCATTTCCATACAAGTAAAAATTATTTAGAAAATATCTTTACGATGCCTGGGAATTAATCCAACCAGTGATATGCAGCATCTATGCAGCATGTTATAAATTTGTGCTGACAGACACTGAAAGAAGACTAAATGTGATTGGTTAGGATAAGTCAGTTTCACAAATTGACTTTTTATGAATTTGATTTATAGGCACAATTCAATTCCAATCAACAGAGATTTTCCTTAAAAATGTTAAACTGAATCTATTCTTACCTGGCAGGGGAGATACCATGATCACAAAGGCGGTTTTCCCATGGCTAGGTTTATCTGTTGACCTCTGGGTGTGCTGACCCCTGAGATTTCCACAATTGTGGGAAACTCAACTGCATAATTTGTGGTAGTGGGGAACTGTGTTCACGCTTTCTCCTGATATTTTGTAGTGTCAAAAGTAGACTATACACAAAGGGCTACCCTCAGTTTCTGCAAGTTTGTAGCATGGAGGGCAAGGTAAGTATTCTTCTTACAGTCAAAATGTTGAAAAACAGAAAGTAACCTGTTACCATGCTTTCCCTGGTACCCTCCTGCTCATCTTTCTAGTGATAGAAATTGTCAGTGCATACAGCCAACCTCTAAATAACTCTTTGTTACTCTTTGTGCAATGTACCATCCCAGGCCTTGCAGTCCTGCCTGCAAGGGGAAATGGAGTTTGTGTGTTTCCCTACCTCCCAGTCCACTCCAAAGAGCCAACAAGGCATCCTCCCAACACCTCCCATCTTCTCCAAACTAAGCTCCTCAAAGACTGTGGTGGTTTTCAGTGCTTCCTAACCACTCTCAGTCTCTCCCCACCAAAAAAATGTTAAACTGAATCTAAAATGTATGTAGAAGGAAAATTGATACAGATTGGAAATAGAACAAGATGGGAGGCATTATTCCAAGTACTGATTTGTTCTATTTCTCAATTTTGGTGGGGGATTTTAAAATGTTTGTTTTATTATTTTTAATCCAAAAATATATTTATATGTATTTTATATTCGTGTGTTCTATTTCACAATGAAATTTTTTAAAAACCTCATGTAGGTCTGAGGCTCACATCTCTGCAGAATCAGCACATAAAAACCAGAATGTTTTTATAATTATATGTATAGAATATGTACTAATAGTTGTTCACTGTTTAACAATAAAATACATTTTAACATAAGATGTAATACATGTTTAATGCAGAAAATTTGGAAAATGCAGGAAATAGGCAGAAATAAAGAAAGTTCCCTGTGACCCTCACCATCAATTTCAGCCCCTGTGACTGTTGTTACACACTTTCTGGTCTTATCTATGCTCCTATATGTGTGCTTGTGCATTTGTTTGTAAGTTTTTACAGACTTACTGTCCTATTACTTAATGTTTGTGTTATGCCTTTTTATTTGCTAATACAAATGTATTATTTAATGTTAGGAAGTTTGCAAAACCATCAGATTTTTATTATGAAAAGGTACAGTTGAAAATTATATACTTGTTCAAGTAATTCTTTCGGAAAATAGCAATATTTTAGAAAATAAAATGAGAACTCAGCTAAGAGGGATTATATTGACAGGAAAATATAGAGTATGTAGGGAACATATATATTTTCAGTAATCCTCAAAACAGGAGAAGGAAACACACTTCTCATACACTGATGTCAGTCTGAATCACAGTTCTTTGTTCCACATCTGCTACTCAGTTTATTGGTGATTAAAATGTAGTACAGATGGCTGTCCTTTAGCAGTTCCCTCACAGAGATAGTTCTCAACAGTTTGCATAAGTGACACATTTATTTCAAAAATTACTTAGAAAGAAAATATAACATTGAACTTAATAGTATGGACCAAACACTTTTTATCCTCTTATTTCAATCTATCATGAAAATGAAATTTATCTTTGAAGCCAGGAAATATCCTGATTAGTGTTTCAAGGGAGAGTAAGGAAAATCTCTCACAATTTTGAGAAATCCTTCTTTTAAGGCCCTATCTTTTCTTTCCAGCATCAGAGAATTATAGGCCTTGGGCTGGATCCAGTTCCCAACAAGTGATTTTATAAAAATCCACCAATGCTAGTAACGCTGAAACTTTTCTAAATTCTGTTTTCAGTAGGTAAAATATATTCCTGTTACTACCTAACTAGAGAGAATAGTAGGATGATATTTGCATTACCATGGCAACTTGCATCTCTAGAGTGAGATGACATTTTTGCCTGTTTATTTCTACTTTTCATTTAGGAATAACATTTTTTTATTCCATTTTAACTTGAAAAATAATTGGTTGGGTATATATAAAGAGAGAAACTGAAAGTTATTTAACATCTGCTGTATGTCAGACACTGAGTTAAGTTCTTTATATCCACCACTGCATTCAGTCCTCCAAGGACTCTGGAAAGGAGGATTCACTTTAGAGAGGAGACCGAGAAATTTCAGTACTTTTCTGTGCTTATGGTCAAAAGGTTACAAAGCAATAGAGCCAGGGTCTGTTCAGAGCTTGGTGCCCCTGGTTCCCAGGCCGGTGCTTTTTCACTGCTTCACACTTCCTCCAACAGGTTTTATTTCCTCTCTGGGTTCCTAGTCTAACTTTCCCTTAAAACTGACAACCAGCTTGTGCAATACCAGTAAGTACATTGCAATATGTAGTTTTTAAGTGCTGTGGTTCTTAATGTTTAATTCTAATTTCCATATATAGAAAATTACATCTAAATCAGGATTGACTGATTACGTTTTACTCTTCAGTTAAAATAGTTATTCAAATGTTTTAATTGCATACCATGTGCTTCAGAAGATGATACCAATTAAGTAGTTAGGATTTAGCTGTACATATGATGGAGATTTAGTTATGGCACTATAAAAGAATTATATATATATATAATTCAAATCTACAGATATAGAATATTAAATATGAATTGCAAATATTGGATTATGAAGACAAGCAAGTATTTGTTGAACATAAGGAGGTATCTGCATAGATTCTATGTGGGATATGTTACTCAGAAAAAGCAACAGAACAAACATGAATTATATTTATTATCCATTGAAACAAAATTAAGATGACCAATTCTTCAATCTTAAATATTCTGTTTTTTAAAAAGTAGCTCTTATTTCCTTTATATTTCGCTATTGTGATTTTCTCTCAAAAGACTCTGAAACAAATGTAAAGAGAAATTTCCCTTGTGATAGACTTTATGAGACACTTAAATTGTTGTGTCATAACGATACGTTGTTCATCTAAAGGCCTTGGTGGCAATTGCAGGAATTAAAAAGTAAAAATTATGTTCATTGATACATTTATGAACCATCAAGTGAAAGGAAGTATTTTAATATTATTTAATGGTGGCATTATGGCTTAAGCACCAGATCTATTTCTTTTTCCCTCTTGAGTCCAGCAAGAAAAGGTCCCAGAAACAGTTATTGTTTGAGCAGTTTGAAGGATCTTGGCACTTGAAGGAAAGACAATTCTAATAATGTAATAAGGGCAAAAGGTGGCTAGGAAGCTATTATGCACTAGTGGACTATGTGAGCAAAATACATGGAATACTTGCCCAAAGTTTAGAAATGATGAGAGAGAGAAGTGAGCAGGATACAATGAAGAGTCTTTGATGGACATGAAACATAGTTTGTTCATAAGTAATTAGAAGAAATCAGGGGAAGGAAATAAATTGAAGGTGTAATGTTAAGTTGGAAAAGTTATGTAAGCTCAAGGGAGGAAGGGAGAAATGGCTGGGTGAATATGTTTGATTTTGTAAACAAAGGGTGAACCGGTCGGAATGGCTCATGACAGTAATTCCAGCACTTTGGGAGGCCAAGGTGGGTGGATCACTTGATGTCCAGAGTTCAAGACCAGCATGGTCTTCACAACAAAACCCTGTCTCTACTAAAAATACAAATATTCGCTGGGCAGGGTGATGGGCACCTGAAGTCCCAGCTACTAGGGAGGCTGGGGCAGGAGAATCACTTGAACCCAGGAGGCAGAGGTTGTAGTGGCTAAGGTCACACCATTACACTCCAGCCTGAACGACAAGAGTAAAAATTTGTCTCAAAAAAAAAGAAAAATGCAAAAAACAAAGGGCGGGTAGTTTCTTCAAAAGCCAGTGCCTCAACTCTCATTCTGCAGTCCCATAGTATCCACCCTTGATTTTGAATTGATATGATGCCCTATTCTTGCATAAAAACATTTCATTTTTGATTAGTAAATTATTTTGAAAGGTTGATATGAATATGTATAATATCCAGAGCACAAAACTACTAAAATGTTATGAGTCTCTTACATAATTACCTTTAAATGAAACTGTAGCCCTGAAAGTAATTTCACAGTCACATTCTTTTAGATTTTAGTAATACTATATGTGTGTAGCTTTTATATGGTCATATTGTGATGAAAACTCCTATGTAATAGAATAAATGTAACAGATTGTAAAACTCCAAGGATGGCTATATATTCAAATACATATTATATATTTCAAATCAGTTGCAGCACACTTTCAGCTAGAAGAAAACACATTCTTATATACCTTAGTTCTGGTAATAAGTAAATGTGCTCTTACCATATAATTTTCTTTACTATGCCCTTGGAGCTCTTAAGGTGCTATGGGAGGCTATTGCAAACTCATTGTTGGAATTGCCTGCCATGCTAAACCAAAGTGGAGTCAATAAGTAATTTTATCACTCTTTTCTTCAAAAATATGTCAAAGACAACTGAAAACATGGTAAGTGCATTTATTGCTGGGAGGCATTTAATGAGAAGTTCTTTCTGACATAAATACTTGACCCTTAATTACATTTTTTGCATGCTAACAACACCTTCAACCAGGTCACCTTGAAGCTACAGGAATTCTGTTTTTATCCCTCATGCCACTGCTGAGAATGTAGCTCCATGTTTTTATTCCCGTACTTCTCAATGCACTTATGACTAAGAAGACACTACTCCACCTTCACCCCCAGACCCCAGCATTCTTGGTTTATTTTAAGTTCATCTGGGCTATTAAAGTGTGAAAGATTTATGCTCATACTGCAGATACAAGATCAAGATGCATTATTTTTCTGGACCTATTTTCTAAGAACTCTTCTTTCAACTGTTAGTTTCCAGGATAGGATGAATCTGATTTTACTGTGAAATGCAGGTAGCTTTTATTTCAGGCCTTTGCATCGCTTAAGAGACATTATTAGCACCTAATTGGAATTTGCATAGACACATGAAATATTCTGCCTTCTGAGACCTTATGGAAATCTGCCCTATTAATGACTACATCAGATAGGAGTTATAGATTTTTGTCATTTCGGCATTTTTCTTCTATCAAGTAGTTCGCTTCTGCCCACATAACTGAGTAGTGTAGAAGAGCCACTACCATTGGTCTTTTCTGGGCTAAGGACATTTGATTTCATATATAAGAACAAAAAAGGCTCATGTGACTTTTTTGGAAAGATTATAGCCGTAGGAAAATAAAGCACTATTAAGCTACATGCTTCTTTTAATATGTTCTCATTAAACGCAGTGAACAAATAATTAGTATACATTTCTTTCTCATATGACTGCCCCTTGCAACCATACCTTAGTTATTATACCTACCAAGTGCTATAAGGAAATCTATAGAATGGATGATAATCAGTGAAATATTTGAAAAGATAAAAATTATCCTCATCTCAGCTACTTATTGTGAACCTTCTTTTTTGTTTAGTTATACTTACTGAACTGATGCTGTTAGAACACTTCAATGTTATGTCATTTTCAAATTTGATAGACAATATGTATACTTTTACTTGCATCATTCATGATAAATATTGTATATAATATTGAACTATGGCGTTCTGAAACTTCTACTTAATACATGAGCATTTTCCAACTTTTTTCTTAAGGCTCTCCAATCAGGTTTCTACAAATCAATTTATTCACAAATAACAAAAAAAAGAAGCCCAAGTACTATATTTTCCCACATACTAAACAATGGTGAGTGATACTGATGTTTACTTCAAGCAATATATCTCCAACTTTTTCATGTGCATTGTCAAAATCATATATTTGTTAAAATGCCAAATTTATGCCCCACCACAGATTTTCTAAATCATAATAGAGAGAGCCAAGAATCAGCTTTTTGCTAGCTCCTCAGATGACTTGAATATACATTAAATGTGAAAAGTCTTTATTAAAGTTTTTATTTTCTTTTCCTAAAAAACTTTTAAGTTCAGGGGTACAAGTGCAGGCTGGTAACGTAGGTAAATGTGTAACATTGGTGTTTGTTATACAGATTATTTCATCACAAGGTATTAAGCATAGTACCCATTAGTTCTTTTTCCTGATGCTCTCCTTCCTCCACCTTCCACACTCCTAAAGACCTCAGTGTGTGTTGTTCCCTTCTGCATGTCCATGTGTTTGTAAAATTTTCAATTATTTTAAATATTTTATAAAAATGATTTTTAAGTCACTTGTATTCCTGTCCTACAGTGTTTGCATGTTTTAAAATATGAGGTTAATGAGCAATAAAATAAATGATCATTTTGGTTTATAACACAAATAAATAAATATCCACAAATCCATAGACTAATAAATATTTAAATAAATATGTAAATAAAAAAGACAAAATCTTTCTTGCAGAAAATTTTCAAACAAAAAATGTAGAAGAATGGGAGAAATTTTTTTAAAAAATCACCATTAGAACATCCCAGTAATAATTGTGGCAGGCAAGATTTGCAATGAATACTAAAATTAGTATAAAAAACTTTAAGGAGAAACAAAATATTTACATTGCCTTAAAGCATTTTCTCTAAAATATTTATTAATCATGTGATGCTTCTAGCATATTTTTACAAATTCTTTGAGACTGCTCTCTACTATAGGTGATGCTTACATCCCTACACCTGGATTATAGGTTGGATTTAATGGCTCATTTCTAACAGAGTATGGAAAAGGAAAATTACTCTAAGCAAAAAGCTGACAGATGCCACCTTACCAAGTGACCAAGGTTAACAGCAATAGTAATAAGCTTATTGATAGCATGTCCCTCTTGATGTGATGCAGTGAGAAAGGCCCTTCACCTCTGTGGGGTTCTTTACAAAATTCATAATGCCAATCTAATCACAAGAACAAAATAAGACAAACTCGAATTGATAGTCTATAAAATACCTGGCTAGAACTCTTTAAAAGTTTCCAGGTTATGAAAACCAGGGAAATACTAAAAATTGTCGAGATCAGAGGAGACAAAGGAAACTTGATGAAGAAATACAATGTTGTCTTCCTGACTGGACCCTGAACAGAAAAAGACATTAGTGGAAAAACTACTGAAATCTGAATAAAGCCTGTAGTTTAATTCATATAATACCAATGTTAATTTATTCATTTTTATTATTTGTGGGTGAAATGCTACCATGAGTGTGAGAATTCTCTGTATTATCTTTGTAACTTCTATAAACCTCAAATTAATTCAAACTGAAACGGAGTTGTTATTTTCATTATGGCACAAAATATGTAACATTAAGTTTGTCACCTAATCGTTTTGAATATACAGCTCAGTTATATAAGTATATCCACTCTGTTGTGCAGCAGATCTCTAAATTTGTCATCATGCGAATCTGAAAATCTATCCCTATTAAATTCTAATTTCCCCTCCCCCAATCATTGACAATCACTTTCTACTTTTCAGTTTGTTATAATTTTCACTACTTTAGATACGTCAAAGTATAGAATATTTATCCTTTTGTGATTGGCTTATTTTTTCAACATAATTGTCCTTGAGGATCATCCATGTTGTCGCATGTGACTGGTTTCTCTTTTTGAAGTCTATATAATATCCCATTGCATGTATATGCCATGTTTTCTTTATCCATTCATCTGTCAGTAGACATTTGGGTTCCTTATACATCTTGGCAGTGTGAATAATTTTTCAGTGAACAAGGTGTGCAGATATTTCTTTAAGATCAGGCTTTGAATGATTTTGGATGTATAACTGCAAGTGGGATTGCTGGTTCATATGGTAATTGTCTGTTTTAATATTTTTAAGGAACTCTCATACTATTTTCCATAGTGACTGCACCATTTTACGTTCCTAATAAAAGGATACAAGGGTTTCAGTTTCTCCACATTCTAAGACTTGTTATTTTCTTTTCTTTGTTAAAATAGTAGCGATCCTAATGGATATGAGATAATATGTCACTGTGTTGTGTTGTTTTGTTTTGTTTTGTTTTGTTTTGTTTTGTTTTGTTTTGTTTTGTTTTTGATGGAGTCTCACCCTGTCACCAGGCTGGAGTGCAGTGGCTCGATCTTGGCTCACTGCAACCTTTGCCTCTCGGATTCAAGTGATTTTCTTGCCTCAGCCCCCTGAGTAGCAGGGAGTACGGGCACACCCCACCACACCTGGCTAATTTTTGTATTTTAGTAGAGATGGGATTTCACCATGTTGGCCCGGATGGTCTCAATCTCTTGACCTCACGATCTTCCAGCCTTGGCCTCTCAAATTGCTGGGATTACAGGCATGAGCCATGATGCCTGGCAGCACCATGATTTTAATTTGCATTTTCCTAAGGATTAGTGGTGTCAAGCATCATTTCAAGTGCTTGTTGGCTATTGGAATGTCTTCCTTGAAGAGATGTCTAGTCAGGTCCTCTGCCAATTTTTTGATCAGGTTGTTTATTTTTTATTGTGGAGTTTAGAAGTTCTTTATATATTTTGGATAGTAATCCCTTATATGTCATGTGTTTTCCAAATATTTATTCCCTTTTTTATACTGCCTTTTCATGTTGTTGATTGCCTATTTTGATGCTGAGAAAGATTAAATTTGATGGTCTCATTTGTCTATTTTTGCGTTTGTTGTCTTTGCTTCAATGTTACATTCAAGAAATCGTTGCCAAAAACAGTGTCTAAAGATTTTCTCTTTTTAAAAAAAATTCTAGTTTTATAGTTTTAGATATTTGGTTTATATATGTTAACCAGTGTGTTAATTTTTGTATGTAGTATAGGGTAAGTGTCCAACTTAATTCTTTTGTAAATGGGTATCCAAATTTCCCATCACCATTTGCTCTAGAGACTTTCCTGTATGTAGTATTGGCATCCTTGTGAAAAATCATTCTGCCATATTCCCAAGGGTTTACTTACAAACTTTCTATTCTATTCCAGTGGTCTATATATCTGTGTTTATGCCAGTACCTCATCGTAAGGATTCCTGGTGCTTTGGAGTATATTTTGAAATCAGGAGGTGTGAGGGAACCAATGTTGTTCTTTCTTTTCAAGATTGTTTTAGCTATTTAGTGTCCTTTGAGATTCCATCTAAATTTTAGGATGATTTTTCTATTTCTGAAAGAAAAATTAATGGGATCTTGATAGGAATTGCATTGAATCTGTGGATTGCTAGGGATAGTATGACATCCAACTAAACTTGTTTTGATATATAAGTTTAATGTTTAGTTTTCCAGGATTATTGGTACAGCTCATGATTTTATGAACACCAAATATTTATTTGCTACTTTCATTTGATATATTTACTAGAATGTCTTATTACTGCCAGTTTTTCACAAGCCAATTTAATAATTTCCATATTATTTTCTTATTCTTCATTATTCATTATTCTACATTGCTTAGAGGGAGAAAGAGAGAGAAAAAAGATGTGTACTTGTTTTCTCTTACCAGTTTGAGATACTTTTTCAGAAATAAGCTTCAGTGCCTATACACCTCAAATCTCTTTTTGCCAAATCCAAATGAAGTGTTAACCTGATTACACAATTTAATTTCAATTCATATGTTGCAAAATGTCAAAATTGAAAAAGTAATAGAGTCATAGAGTGAATGCATTAATTTTCTCTTGATGCTGTAACAAGTTAGCACAACTTAGTGGGTTAAAACAACACAAGTTTATTATCTTACATTTCTGGAGATCAGGAGTCCTACTATCAAGGCATCAGAAGGACTGAATTCCTTTTGGCGATTCTAAGGGAGAGCTCATTTCCCGGCCTTTTTCATCTTTTGAGGCTACTCACCTTTCCTGCCTCCAGATTTCTTCCTTCATCCCCAGAGTCAGTATCATAGCAGGTGCAAACCTCTCTTTCTGACCTCTTCTTTCTCATAATATCTTCCCTGACCCTCCTACCTTCCTCTTTATGAGTATATATTTGGGCCCACCAAAATAATTCAGAATATTTTCATCATCCTCAAATCCTTAATTTAATCACATGTGCAAAGACCTTTTACCAATTACGGTAACATACTCACACGTGTTAAGAATTTGGATGTGAACATTTTTTCAGTGGCCATTATTATATCACAGTGACTTTTTTTCTGTGTCATTCATCAAATTTGGGGTAAGTCCATTACTTTTAATCATTTGATAGATACTATGGAAATATATTGTCCATTATTTATTATTCTAACAATGTGTAAAATGGTAGAATCTTTTATTCCTCAATTAATAGCCATTAACAGCCATTGGATATTGTTCTACTACATAGTCTCACACTGTGTTTCATTAGTAAATTTTTCTTGAGAGTGAAGACAAAAAAGATCATTGTCTTGATTTTGTTTTGATTCTGGCTAAATCAGAGCAGTAGAGTCATAATTTGAAATTAATATTCAACAACCCCTATATTAGGAAAGGCTAACTGTGTCAGGGTGTGAACTACCAGCTTCTTTAGGTTGTGACATACTTTTCAATCGAGCAAGCTATACAAAGATGAGTAAACTGTGGACATTGGCATAAAAAACAATGGAAAAATATCATATTGCAAAATTAATATAATTGGGAGACTAATGCAATTTGTGCCATTTTTTTCTTTGTGACTATGGAGAACTTCAAATTGGAGTACTTAAATTTTAATCATGTTAAGTTCTAAAATCTGTGATTCTGATTTCTAGCAGCACTAGACCTATATACTCAACGAAATTAAAGGTAACTATTTTAGTGTACATTACTTAAGTTTAACTCTCTGTCATTTCTCTTGACATCGTGGCTATAAACACATTTCTTC